GCACAAACAAAAACGCTCATAGGAGAAAACTTCAGCCTACGTGTAAAGGCTGAGATGACCTGTGCTTTCATCATTCTCGGTTGGGATTTCTCCGTTGGGATAACCTAGCTGTCTCGAACTATTTTGGAACGGTCCAGCAGGTTATTCTTTGCCTGAAACAAGTTAGGCTCAAAGTGTTGGAAACTGCCATTCCGTCTTGTAAAGACCATTTGGTGAATAACAAGCTCAGCCAACGGAAACAAGTCCGCTGTTTGATGGCGAGGTAAAAACTTTTCGGGTGATATCGAATGTTGCTCGACTCAAGCCGTGACTGCAAGAAGACTTGGGAAGACCGAGGAGTGTGTCGCTCTCGCCCACAAGGCTCGATGATGATGATATGCTTTTCCAGGAAAAACGATACTGACTCAGACGCAGCTGAATCGTTATGATATTCAACCAAATGAAAGCACGCGAAATTAGGTTATTTCACCCTACGAGATGATGAAAATGCTAAAATTAGATATGTAATTCGAGTAAGCGTTATTTTGATTTTGGGCTGTTCGACGCTTCGCTGAACAGAACGAACGTCAACAAAGCTACGCCTAAATTTGGACAATAGTTAGCACCGTGTGAAGTCGAGAAAAGCTTTTGGCTATATATTGCTGACTTTCAGTGTTCACCGTAGAGTGCGTAAATGTCAGGAACAGTAAGAAAAACTGGTTAATGTTCAGAAACATGAATGCCTGAGGGTCGGACAAAATTAGGTCGCAGATAACCAATGTGCGTTCAAAAAATGTTTTAGGGGCTGAATGTCTAATGTATGTTGAATTTATGATGGTGTTGTCAGCCCTAGCGTTTTCCTCACTAGTAGATTCTGATTTCTTGTGTCGTAAGTAAAGCAGTACATGAGGATTCAGGGTGCTTTTGACAAGGAGTCTTTGACCATTCAAGTCTAATATATTCGTCGGATGACTGCACTGTTCACTAGTTAGATGCGAGCCACCACAGGGACTTTCGCCACACATTCGTGGGAATCATCTGCCTTGCAGCGATTGCTGCTGAGGTTGATTTTCCTTTCCTTTCTTGTCATCACAAGCGTCCCGGAACGAGGCCGGAGAAATGAAGTTTCTATGTAGACCGCAAATTGCGGTTCCTGTAACCAAGATGGTTTCTCGTTTGGTAAATAGTACGCACACTGGATCAGGCTGATGTCCTGCAAGAAAAAAAGGCTACAGATAGAAATCCTTTTTATTACAGGTAAGATATAATACAACATAAAAACACGCCGAAGATGCAGGAACTTCGTTCGCCATCCCCTAACGATTTGTACTGCTTTTGCGATGCGCGGATGATCAGAAACACAATGGTCACAATAGGCCAGGATGAACGTGTTCAAAGACTTCACAGACCACACTGGCCTTTAATTCTTTTTGTTATTTGTCCAGAACATTCCGTTTTGAATCAACCTTCGTGGAAGCCAATTCTACCAACTCCACTCCACTCATTAAATTTTAAAATCGTAGTGCACAGTTAACTGCATGCATAAAAATCCTCAGCGAAATTACTCAGTAAGTAAGAAGCGGTTTTACGACTACTCCTTCAATCTGATCAGATGAGTGAACTGATCAACAATCTGATGCCTATTCACATCGAAGTTATGTAAGAAGAAGAGCCGTTTTGTTACCCGACCATCCCAAAACGAGGTTATAAACGGTTACTGTTCGGGGTTGTCAAAGTCTCTGGTGTGTCAGTCATGTCTCTGAGCATCTCGGATGTGGTATTTGTTGCTGCACAATTGTTATACGTTCAGTGACGTCACAGTCATACTTGTCCAAGGAAAAGACATAACTTACTGTCGAAAAAATCACGTCATTGGGGAAAAATGCCTTTGTATGTAATTCATCAAGAGTTTTATTGACGGTCCCGAGATATGATACAGGAAGCAACGAAATTTCACAAGTCAACCTAAATAATGACCAACCATTTTTCATAAATACATGCCATTGTTGTACTACTCACAACGTCTCATTTAAGTAGCATTGTCTAATTAGGTATCACCTGTCCGATGTCCTCAGATCGGTCACTTAAATGGTGTTGTGATACGGTGAAGCAAGTGCAATACTTACAACTGAAGATTACGGTCGTCTCATTACATATATTTAAAGCCAGTTTTTTTTATTTTTCTGAATGAAAAGGCAAACTTAATAGACACGTAGGGAAAAATAGCATTTAAAGCTTTCGCCGTTGTGTTTCGACACAGTAAGGTGTAAGCATCAGACACCCACAGTACGGAAGTTTCCTTGAGGCGGAAGCGAACCGGCAACATGAACAAGCGAAAACTTCTTAGGGGACCGTACGAAGCCGATCAACTTACAGATTTTCAACAGACTTTCTCAAATCATGGGCATGTAGCTGTTTTCCACATCTGATTGATGTATTGTCAACGGAGATGAGACACTCAAAACCATATTATCCGTGGGTTTTGTTAAAAAAGCCCTCACAGAAACTGATTTTTTGAAAAAGCCATTTGTGATTTACAGGAATGACATTATAATCCTATGAACGATACACTTAAACAGCGTTGCTTTTACTTGGTTATGACGAATTAAGTGACTCAGCTATCACAAACATATCACTGCGGGAATCATATTTCCGGTTTCCGGGACAATATCCTTCGCGAAGTCACCTCAAGACGAAAAACACTACAAATTCATCAAAAGTGGGGTTTTGAGGAGAAAGTTTATTTTCGATTTCTACATGAGATTATACTGGGAGCAGGGAAACGCATCAGGGATTTCGGTACGTAAATCATGAGACAACGGCTGGGTCAAGACGACCAGGAAACGTTCAGTGAACAATAAATAATCTAGTTAAATTACCACCACAAATGAACATTGAGGCAAGTCACTGCTACCGATCAGGTGGTCACGTGTCCACAACTCCCTGTAGTTTTCGGAGATGTTGATGATTCGAGGAAACAGGCGTACAGTGTTTCCGGGCTTTTAAGCGTAGATTGGCTTCACTTACCGAGGTAAGTCTCAATTCAAAAATGACAAGAACTCCTCAAAAAATAAACTCAGTCTGTGTCAAATGTGTCAAAATGTGAATAAGTTATGTGGTTCCAGTGACTGAAGTTTGATGCGCTATATCCTGAGCTAAGCTCATTATTGATCAGACGCACGTGGCCGAGTGGCTAAGTTTTCAAACTGCTAGTGGGAGGGCCAGTGGTTCGGAACAACCTCGGGCCACGTGGGATGCCCACATCTTCTGATTTTCAGTATGGATGAAATAGGTGTATTGTTGCTTAGCTTTTCAGTATACATTTACCACACCTACAGGACAAAAAACAGTTAAACATTTCTAAAACTCTCCAGCAGTTTTTCAGAAGTAGCCGGAATCGAATGAAATTTACCTTAGCACTAAGTGCTGACATTCCTTCCTAAATCTAAGCAATATCTAGTCTGAATCAACGGAATCTTCTTTACAAATGACCTGAAGATGGTATTCCTGTTATCTATCTGAAGATTTCATTAGTTTTTTCATATTTTAATACCGTAAGATGAAGACCAACTTGGATCGAACGAGTCTCATAGTATCGAATTCTTGACCGTGCGCTAGACCGTTGAAGGGGAGACACGTCTCTTCGTGTCCTTGAAGGTTTTGACTATCAAAAGATCAATTTGCTCAAATACTTGTAATTTTAACGCACTGGAGGACGTACACACCCCTGGTGATTCTAAATATATAATTGTATCGTTTGCCTCCCTGTAAATAGATCTCCCCTTTACCTAACCTTTTCCAAAAATATTCATTCACTTCCAATAAAAATGCTTTAGCCGCCAGTTCTGAAATGTGGACGGTTGCTTGGTTTGATGTTCTTTTTCGTGCCTACTTCACTTAACATACCACAAATTGATCATTGATTTTGGCGCAAATATCACTGGACACTTAGCCACCAATCAAATCACTTTGCAGTGTAATATAGCATAGCAAAGTGCGGCGTGTTATTGGGATTTCTGGTAACTCGTACTTGAAATTTCGCCTGGGCGGTTGGTGAGCAGTGTGAGATTAGCTTGAACTTAGCGTAGCACTTAGCACAGAACAGCATAGCGTAGCATAGCATAGCGTAGTGAGAGGATATATTGTATCACAAAGCACATGTACAAATGACAAACTATAGTGTAGTACAGTACAGCACCGTATTGTGCTGCATAGTCTGGTACATTTACTGTCATGTATTACCAGGCACCTGTTTGGCCGACTGGACAACAGATATTGCTTGATAGTCTAAATAAATAGAAAATTGTTAAGCTGTGGCACCCTTTCGGTGTCTGACTGTCATGCCACCCGAAAGCTGCATCCGGGCTGGGATACTGCCAGTTTGTCCAGGCCTAGACAAAAGTCGAGAGGCAGAGGTCGGTTTCGAACCACGAATATTCCGGTCAGTAAATTCGGGTTCTAACAACTTGGGCTATCTCGCCCTCTGCTTGATGCCAAAAGAGCCATTGACCTCCTTCCAAATAAAAGGTGGAAAAGAATCGAGTTGCGTTCGATTGACTCACAAATGTCTTCAATACAACCCAATCACTGGGATCTTTGGTTGTTTACAAACGTATTTAGTTTACTGGCTGTTTCTAATATGAATTATTACATGTTCTGACGCAGTACCCAAAGGTAGGAACTGGTTTACTCGGATAATGTACAACTATACTGAGAATCCTCCAGATTAAGTTTTTCTTTCGTAAAAGCCTCCTGGTGTGAAAACAGACGTTGATCTACTGAATTTCACTGCACATCTTCTCCATCTTCTCAAACAGGATTTAGCGATTGTGCAACATAAACCGTAGCAAGGAGGCAATTAGAACCGTCAAATTTTTGGAGTACAGGTCCCCTACCTTATAAATGAATTGCGGGAATGTCTTCATGTAAACACAGGAGATAATTTCGTGAAACCGACTTCATGTGTTTTTCGCTCAGGTCACCGGTTTTTCATTTACATGTCGCCCCTAACCTTTGAACAGCAAGAAGAAGATACAACCAGAGCATCACAGTAGAGCGGTTTCCAGGTAGCCCACAGCTGCCAAACGTGAGCATATCAGACGATGAGAGGGAAATTCTGAATCTCGAACGCTCTCGCATTCATTACACATCCCGACGTTATTCCGGAAGCGCCTTGGAAGTTCAACTGTATGGCAGAGCTGGGGACGCTTTCTTGGTTCGTATGAGTATCAGAGAAAGTCCGACACATACTTTCACCGGTTATCCTGAACTTTCAAATCCTCAAATACATTCCGTGTGTTTGGTCGATGGGACCAGGTAAGCCAATGAATGCAGTTTCTCAACAGTCCTAATATCAGTGTCACACGTGAGTTGCTGATGTTGATGGTGGACTTTGAAAATTCAGCTTATCTCCTCTCCTGGGATAACCTCAGCCAAAAAATATATCAGTGTCCTGACCCACAGTCTGCAGTCTTGACAAAATGTTCATCTAAATAACCATGAAATTTCTGAACAATTTCCTACAGTTAACTGCTCAGAACTTTAAGCCCTCGAAGAAAAATTACACTTTTCTATTCTTGGAGGCACGTTCGTTGTTTCTGAATGCATACCTTACTGGAATAAAAGTCTTACAGTATAATATCCATACAACTGAAGCTCATTCGAATCAACAGCATTGATCAGGAAGAATTTTGAGGTCGTTGACTGGACGAATTGCAAACTAAGGTAAGCTAGATTTCTCATCAAGGCGTGCGATAATTGAGTCACTTCAGCGCAAAAAAGGGATTCATTTAACGTTAGTGCTTTGCTGTTTGCAGAAAGGTGCTCCAAACCTGGGATTTACATTCACGTCTACCAAAAAAGTACCGGGATCCAAAAACGGAAGAATGAAAGCTTGTAAAATCAACCGTGTCACATCTCTGTACGTGCTCAGGACTAAATTGTGTTCATTCAGACATACTTTCACATCTTTATTTTAACCCTGAGTGTAAAATGCGGCAAAGTGGTGCTCAGCTTCTGTCTCTCCACTAGTCCCCTTGGCGACTTGCGAAAATGAGAAGACGCGTTATTCACCCGGATTCGTTATTTTTGGGAGGCTTTTTAAAAGGTTTTTTACTTTAAGGTTATACGACTAAAAGGATTGCTGAAAGCTCTCCAACAATCCAGTTTTCATCTTTCTCAATGTTCATCAGATAGACACAGTCACCGCTTTTCTATCGGCTATATTTCCTATTCGGATAACAAGCTGTAACAGAATGGTGAGGTACACTCATGAGAAGATCAAGTCAGCGGTAAGCGTGGATGAGCCGTATTCCAGCTGAATCTCTCCTTAACTGAACATGCCGCGCAAGGAACACGTCGGTCCGATGTCATATGGTTACTAAAACGATAGTCCACGAGCGGATTCTTGGGCCTAATAGGGCAGATGCAGCCCACCTGCCTAACTTTATACCTGAAGACCAGCGGGCCGAAATAACAGGAATACGGGAAGATCGAATATCCAAATAAACTCTTCTGAGATATTATGGTGAAGTGGAACGTCCTGGTTAAGAACTATCTGGAATCACTGCTTATTTATCCACGAAAAACTATGGGAATTCATCTCGGAGTATTTCTCAATACTCTGGAGTTTTTTCACTTCTGTGTGGCGCGGTATTAGTTGTCCAAGGGTGTGCCATATGTGGACAGTGCAAGTCCGTCTGGAATAATAATCTGTGGACCAACAGTAATGTCTCAGTCCAGCGCAATATGCTGGGGACATTACCAGCGTACATTTCTCGACCAGCCAGGGCAAAGTTCCAAAGTGTTCTTTGAAATAAATACAGGAATACGTAGCAGAAATACCAAAAAGAGACAGTGGGAACAAAAGTAAAATTAAGATAGTATACCGCATGTGCTGTCCAAATGATCGAAGCTCTACCTTCGTTTTCACTCTCGTTCTTTCCAGCATTTTCTTTGCTTGTAACAGAAATAAAGCTCACAAAATTTGCACACATCTGGGAAGACATAAAGTTGCGTAGTATGAAACCGACCGGTGGAACCAGAGAGCGACAGAGTATTGACTTACTACAGATCGTTACCTTTATAAAACGTAGTGAACCGTATGCAGCTCTGTCTTTTAAGTGTGCTCTTTGAGCTAACCTGTCTACTGATGGACGTTGTTCGGTCCTCGCTAAGAAACTGACCGAGTGCATTCAGGAAAAACACCCAACCCATGACTTTTAAATTATCAGGTCCTCCTTAACGAACGCGGCCGATTACACAAGTAGCTGAATAACCAGTCGGCCCTACATGGTCGTGTAGTCACGCGCGCTCTCCAGAGTACTTCCGAAATGATGCTCACACTATTTCCATGAGACAAACCCTCCAGCTCACTGCAGGCCTGGGAGGGCACGATGTATTTAGGTTACCGGAATTCTGCTTACTCATGAGTAGCAAAAATTCACCGTTGTTTTGGCAGCTCTCGTGTCGTCGATCTAGGATTGGAGATCAAAATCAGCGATGGAATTTTCTGAAATGGTAAAGTAACAGCAATAATCGCCTTTGACTAACGCAAATTCCAACTGGGATAGGTTCATCAGTGTGTGCGGTTCCGTGGGAGAATTACATGTTTGTATCCCTGATTTTCCCGTGAAGTATTTGGAGTCAAAGAGTTCAGAGGATTTTGAAAATCCACTGGCTAATGAAATGGGAACGAGACAGTTGCGGGAAAGACTAACATATAAAAGTGAGCAGAGTTCAATAATTCAGAAATGAACTCTTTACTCCGGTTCCTACAAATTCAAATCGGGCTAATTTTTTCTATTCTAGTGATACCTTGGAAATTCGCTGGGCGGCTGCATTGTCTGATGATATGCAGCCTCAGTACTGCGTGTCAATCAACGCTGAAGAGAATCTTTACTACCAGTGCACAGCATACGCAAGGCTAAATGCCACTATTCTGAGACAATACGGAACTATGGATCGCCCAGCGTCTTTCGGGAAGACTGAACAGTTGAGACCGCGCACAATTAATAATTTCGTTTACACTTGTCTACCCAATAAAACTTTGCAAGTGAGTTTCTAAGCTTGACGGTGGATTGTACGACCAGGCTTCCATCTGGGTAGAAGTAGAGTTGACTTCGTTTTTAAATCTGACACTTCGTGAGAGAGTTGCATCGCTTCAACTGTCTGTATCAAATTTGACCTTTACTGAAATATTTTATCATTTCAAAAATTTTTCATCTCGTCAGTAGACGTAGGGGATCGAATTCAAGACGCCATCGTCAGATTCGAAAAGTTAGCTTATACCTAAGTCAATGAACTCGTTTTCTTATTGTTATAGCCTCATATCAGTCTGCAGATTTTGAATTTCTTGCCCCGTAGAAACCTGACGGAACAAGAAGGGAATTTAAGTAAAATGTGATTCGTGGATGCCTTAATTTCTTTTTTTCTCTCTAGGTCCCCACAGAATCTTCCACCGTAATAAGCGGTTATCATACATCCTTTCTATGCTCATCAGTCGTATAAAGTAACAATTAGCACTAAGATGACGTGGAAAAAAATAATAATGATAGAGTTGATCGTGACATTTTGTGGCCAGTTAAGTGATCACTTTGTCCAAATATCTTTCCGTTTCAAGGCCTAAATTTGTCAAGGTCCTATCATGCAATTTTCTTCATACCAGCTAAAGCGACCTTATTCAGTCATTCCAAACGGACGTTCAAGCTTCTTTTCTTGTACTGATCTGCACAAAAATTGGTAAACTGGCTGATAAGCTGTACACACCAACTAATGTGCTATAATACCGTGTTTTTCAAGGGCCTTAGAGCGCATTTAATAGTCACTCAGATCATGCGAAAAGTTGCGCTTAAGTTAACACTATTGCCGAAGTGAACCAATCGCCCCAACGGCTGAACCTATTATCCACAAATGTTCAGTGATAACGACATACAATAAGTTCTAGGCGGATCGTTTTTACATCATACAGTGCTTTTACAACAAAGCCAATAGATTACTATCTTGTACTTACTGAGAATGTGTGAGAAACGTTCATTGGCTACACAATTCTTCTATCCAGGTCAGATTGCCGCACACACTTGCGCTGAATTTGTCTCGACTTGGAAAAGACGCATCCGCAAAGCTGTTCGTCAATGTCTACGCTGTGAACACCAGAGTGTCTTTAAGTACGGCATATGCCGTTCGAGTGCTCGATAGGCCGGTGGAGCGCTGTGGTTCTGTTCGACCTGTGGACGTCATGAAAGTGCACAGTCTACCATCGTTCCATAAAATCCGATGGGCAACGGACATTGAGTTTGAACTTCCCGCCAGTGTAAGGCAGTTCGAAGCATTTTATCAAACGTGCAAAATTCCCGGTGATTTTACAGCAAAGCCAATTTCAGTCCAGTTGTATCACATTCGGGAGTAAGTCCACAACAGTGTACCATCCAGCCAAACCTTGTCCTGTCACTTGACCACTGTTGTGCTACTATGTAAATAAACAACACTTGAAGTGCAAATTATCAGAGGAAACAAGTTGATATTGATTGCCCTGTGCGATCTAATGAAAATTTGCTTATCACTGTACTGTGCTTGAATGAAGTGAATAAACACTTGGCTAAATTCGATTGATTTTAAAAAAGTAATTTTCCTGGCTCTTATTTGCCTTCGCACAGGTACTTTTGATGAAAATTATTGCGAATTGATTATTGACACTTTATTGCGTTGTAGCTTTATTTAAGGATGACGCGTTCTCATTTATTTTCACTCCTGTTTCACTAATCTTACTATCTTCCTGCAGGCTATTTTGGTCAGTCCGTGTTTACCGAGAACGAAATACTATGTAATTTCCTGAGCTTCAGTAGATCTGTCAAATTATTACTGATTCTTGAAGCTTACTTGAAGAATTGATTATCCGCGGTCTCGTGAATGAGGTTGTCCCAGTACAAATAAGCTAGAAAAATAGCTGATCATTCAGGGTTTGTTCTTTGACTGCTGTTCATTGACGAGATCGGGGGAGCTGTGCATTGAAGGCAATAGTTTGGATGCATGAGCGCTATTGAGTGCTCAACTAGACAATGTCTCACGATATTTGTAACAATTGATGTGTCCAGTCTCGGGGTCTCCATACAGAGAGAAGTAAACGACCAATGTAGATGAGTTCCCTTGCAATGGTCTTCGCTTTTAAGTCAATGTTTGACATCCTCTGGCTCGTCTAAAAAGCTTGCGTTGTTGTACGAGGTGGAATATACGAGAAAGTCGGTCAACTAGCATACGGAGCACGTTAAACAGCAAGCATAACCTAAGGATTCCGATTGTTCCTCGATAAGTCATCCGAAAACCATTCGATGTACTTAATCATTGGTGATTCGATGCTCCCACTAGATCCGAAAACATCGACAGTCAAACACTCAAAGATTTTAACCCCCTCCGCACGTGGCTGTCAAATTTCTGACTCGCATAACAACATGGAGTGCACCCCAGCAGTGTAAACTCGATCCTTGGCAAATAATTGATATCATGCTCACGCCACTGATGATGTAGGTTCACAAAGCTGCTCTGGCCACCCTATTTAGGTGGAAACATCTTCTTTGGGTACACAACTTGGATTGATAAAGTTGACCGTATATTCAAATTTGTCTACCACCTCAGTCGGCTCATCAGCAAGCATGAGTTTAGGGTTCGTGGCCACCTAGACTGGCAGTAGTACCTTACACTTTGCAGGTGTGGGGCGCATGTCAAACCGTGAGGCGGAATTGTTTAGATTATTTAAAATTCTTTGCACTACCACGGCGTCAGTTCCAAGAAGAGCTATGTCGTCTGCTTATTTGATATCTGTGAACGAATCCATTTACTGTGGACAGTTGAACTGACTCAGATGAATACTATCGAGCTAAGGCAGTTTTATGACAGTGGGTTGGCATGGTTCTTGCTGATTTACGAGATGTGAACAAAGTTGTGCGCCCCAGAAGGAATGGCAGTCTCGGACTATGGCTCACCACCGGTGGCTGATGGCCATGTGATCCAACTGCATCCACGATCGATTTGCACTTGATAACCTCAAGGTTATGCGATGAGAATGTTTACGCTGAAGATTCCTACTCGCCAAAAACAACTGATTATCAACAAATAACTGGAGGAGTCACCCACCATTCTCTGTGCAACGAGTATCGACTCCGAATCAACCACGCACATACGACTCCCCGGGGCATTCATGTCACCCGCAGAGATTACAGTGTCGTTGCTTCTTGCTTGACGAATAAGCTCTCAATAGAAAGTATCCTTCTTAGCGTCAGAACTGCCGTCCGTTGTGGCATATGCCGACGCCACATACAGGCGCCGTTTTATATGTGGAGAAGCACTGGGCTTTATTGAGCTGGATAACCGGAAGGCGCAAAGACTACTGTTCATTGGGATCCAATTTACCAAAGCGCATTCAGCTCTGGGGTTGACTGCAACTCCCACACCATATATTCCATGAGTCATCGCTTCTGGATCACCGGACATACGAGCGGAGAATTGCGAAGAAGCCAAGCGGTTTTTCCAAAGGCTGCAGTATAGTCTTGAAGAATCTGCTAAGATTTGGCTTACAAGATGTCAGCTGTAAAGCGCAGATGTGGTCAGTCCTGAGAAGTTATGCGTTTTGCGTTCTGTTGCAACTGACTCATCATTAGGACACCGATTGCGCTCTCAACCAGGACTCCTCATTAGTTTATTGGTGCATTGTTGATGATGACCATAATACAAACCAGAAGGTGTATGCACTAATAAAAGTCTACTCTGGTTGACAGTAGTTTACAGAAGCGATTTGCAGCATGTATAAATTAAAGGCAATATAAAATGTGGAGCAAGTCAAAAGGGAACTTATCGTACGTGAGAGTCCCTTGGTGAAAGTCCGGACAGCGGGAACGTGTTTCCTCCTCCGTCTGGCTGCTACACGTATTCCATAATTGTCCGTAGACTTGGAGTATTTGGCTGACCCCTTGCTCCCTGCACGCGCGCGAGTCTGTGTCCTGACTGGGTTCGGTTTCCCTTTATGTAGGTCCCAGTGCGTGTACGTCGGCGCGTCGGCACATATGTAGTTGCTACGCTGACTAGGCGGTGCAGTCAATCGATATCCGATGAATCAACTTAATGTGACGTGATTGTAGGCATGAAAAAACAAGTCTCGTGATTCAGTGAGCGACTGTGAGCTGAACAGTCAAGTATGTGGGTGGCCGGGTAGCTACAAGTTTTCCAACCCATATTATTGACAAAAAAGAAACAAACCAACCACGAAAATGAACGCGTTGTCCCCAAGAGTAGGATTACTGTCTCTACTTGCTTGTCCTGTCACCAAAACCAACCACATTTTTTCGCTAAACTGCAATAAAACCCCAAATCACATGTGACAAAGGCTCACGACCTTGTCACTCTGTCATAGGGACGCATGCACAAAGACCTAACACTTTTCGTTTCGCTTCGCATACTCTCCCTTCACTTGATAAATATTTTATTTGGTGTCTTGAACACCAAGGGTCAGTTGGTTACCAATACAAAGTTTCCGTCTTTTTTAGTTGTGTAAAATATCTGTGACTTCCATATTACACCGGATTGCAGAACACGAATGACGGACTGCAGTGATCTTCCGGGAGCATCTCTCGTAAATTAGATTGTAAGAGTAATCAAGATGAGATGAGTGGAACTAAGGAACAACCGTAACCCTGATGATTACAAACACGAAATAGTGCTTCTTTATGGGACTTCAGGCATAACTGAGGTTGCTCAGTCTGTTCAATAACTAACAGTTAGATTAGTAAATAGCTGTAGGTTAACGATCTCGATGAAGTTCCTTACACCCGTTTCCATGGTAAAGTTTAGTGTTCGTTTTTAGTACTTTTCACTAATTGATGTCCGCCTGAGGGAACCTGCATGCAGTAATATTATCTTCAACAACAATTAGCTGAATTGAGTTCCAAATAAGAATTTCTGACTTTCACATACGTATCTGTTCACGAATCCCAAAATAATTGTGAATGTAACTATTTTTGCCTTTAGAGACTCAATAAATCCCACTGCTTCTACGTTTTAGCAGTGATTATTTGCGAATTACTCTGCATTCTTCTGGACTGCTTCTGTCGAAACTACTCAGAAGTAAGCGCGGAATAGTGACATTTTGAAAAAAAGTAAAATATTTGGTGACTGTTCTTTTATGCCCACAACATACAAGAAAATCCTTTTGTATTCGACGTCACCTTCGCTTTTCCTGTCAGGACACCTCCTCAAAGAATTGAAGTTTGCAGACAACCAATAGTAGATAGTCGGATTCATGCCATATGTAGCCAAAACCACACTGGTGGCTACTACCTTCTACAAGTGAAGGAACCGGCAGGCATTAATCACAGCCAAGAAAGTGGCCGATTCTACCTCCGTCAGCCCAACACTTATGGAGGGATTCTTCGTCCTGCAAACACGGGTAGGTGATTTTGTCAATGGTTTTCTTTCTTTCAAACCAGCTATTCAACGCGATAGAAAAATATTCGGTTTATGGTGTTTATGCGCAAGCTGAGAAATCAGCATTTGGGGTAACTTTAGATACCTCAGAGTTCGTATGACAAGCATAGATAACGTGAGTTGTTGGACATAAGCTGACTGGACGTAATTTCCAAACCGATTCAACACTGTGCAAGTGTATAGAGTCAATATAATGTACGGTGGACAAATCTTTCTAACTGGGTGGGTTTTGGTTGCCTCAATAGTGCGCCATCATATAGTCAATGTTCACCTGGAGGTATAAGACCTGTCTTGGAATGAGGTAATGAAAGTCTGAAAGTATTTAAACCTAAATGAAGATGTTGGTATTTTGGAACGCCGCTGTAAGAGTTTGCAGGATGCTGATGTTTGAAAGCACTGTCGAAGATAGTCGAGTAAATTTGAGAGTTGGCGGGGATTCGAAGAGCAATATAGCCCAGTTTCAACTGACAGTCAAATTGAAGAGAAGCTGCTCAGCCAACTGGGTTGCGAAAATTATTAGCTTTGAACTACTAACTATGAAGAGTAGGCAGATTCACCACTCATTGCACTATAGAATTATCAATTGGGAAATGACACCGAAAGCTTTGTGCGCTTTCGCAGATTTTTACTATATTTGCCAGCCTTCAGACATAGTGGAGGAAGCAAATCTACTCTCCAGAAGGATTGATTTTCCCTCATGATCTCTCTGAGGAAGTGAGCAATATTCATTAAAATTAGCTCCTTGTTTGGAACCAGCATCCACTGACAGGCCCCCGTAAAGACAAAACGCCTATTCTCTTTATCACTAAGTAGCGCAAACTTCACGAGATGGAATATTTCACAACGAATGCACCATCTAAACACACAGTAGAAAATTTCGTTTGCAACTGACTAGTCCATTCGAAATTCGGCAGTGATGGTGCCATTTTTCTCCACAGAATTCTCTACCCGAATAACACGTGTGCTGACCAATTCGACGAGTGAACCTTACCTAAAATCGCCCGACTCCATAACAATAAAGCCCTTCTATGTCATATCAGCAGCAGCCTCTAGATGGCGAGAGAATAACCTCACTCACATGGTGAAGCGAGGGATTGGAAACTTACTGAGGTTACGCAGACGCAAGCGACAACGACTGTTGAGGCATGCATCTCACATTCCATTTTTTCCCACTTCAACAACGAGTCATCTGGATGGATTAGGTATCGGTATTGACTGCCAAGGTCCACAAGTATACGCAAGACTGAGAATACACTCAAGTTCACAGTACTACTGGATTTATACAACTCCAATTCCGTTCTGGATGATGAAAAGGCGGAGAGATTGGCTATTTGCAAGGTTGAACAATATGGTGAGTAATGTAGAGTTCTGTTTAGATTTTTTATATACCCCCCAGGCCCTTTGGTGGTAACTGGATATCGGAGCCATCGTAAAAGGGAACGTGTTCTGATTGCTTGACCGAAAAGGAGCTTGAGAAACTTGTAACCCAAAAAACGAAGCTTTCATTGAATCCGTCGTTGACTAGATTTGAGTACGGACTAAAATTGTATGAGGCAATTGCGCTTACTTTGGACGATTGGTGGTACATTGAGGATAACAACGTCAGCAGGCTATGTGTTTCGGAAAGCCTCATCAAGGCTCGCCCTATCAGGCGCCCTGGTGGCATCCGTCTATTGAAAGCGCATTTGGTGGTTCTATGGTCAGTACTTGAAACTAGCCAGTGTGACAGAAGCACCAAGAAAAACAACCTTGGAGATCCGTTAGGATGTAGGAACGGGAAGCCTCTGCATGGTGGAATACGTCGTATTCGAGAGTATCACTTCAGAATTTTATTTAAGCACAGAATTATACCACATATTTGGGGTCGATATCGACTAAGCAAGCTCCTGTATTGATGTTCACTTGAAGCAGTATTTTGGTAGAGCTTCACGTGCACAAGACTCTAATTCCGAGATACAAGGAGGAACGTAAGCTTTGACAAAACCACTACCATGACTATGACTGTTCTCTTTTACAAACCCCATTCCTGATCGCGTCATTTTCATCGGAGGAGAGAACACAGTATCCGTTAGACTAAACAAGATTTATAAGACATTTTTGATAAGAACGTCCGCCCCGGAATAACAGCCAACCTAACCCGACCTGCTTTCTGTGCTGGTTTACCACCGACTACCAGCAATGTAAACGTTGCCATGAACGGCACGCATTTTGAAGAGTATGGAGAAATCTTAGAAACAGAGCTGAAATTTATACCTGGAAAGCCAAGGATTAGATGACGACTAACTGTGTTTGCTGTTGTCCACTGCCCCTCAATTAATACCATTATGTTTGCCGTCATTCTCCCCTACACACTGCTCCACCCTTTCTTACTTGTTTAAAACTCGCAACCAAATGCAACCAAAGTTTGGTAAATTTCTTTATTTACCATCATTGTTATCAAACTTACTAACGGCAGTCTACTTGGATACCATTTCTTCCCACTGCTCCTACGTATTTATCCACTTTTCGATCAAGACTACACCACTGGCAGCAATTTTTAGTTTCATTTTAGGGGATACTGTGGATAAGTAACCCGTAGGGGTTGTATACACACAAGATCAAATAAAAATTTCTGTTAGATCTTCCGTTTCTATTAACTGATTACACGACTGATGTATGCAACAGTCCCCCAAAGAAACACCTCTTGGGTGGTACCCGTTGCGGCGTGTGATACCTCCGGTCCAATCTGTGTTCTGTACCAGACTGGTGAGCATTGGAGCTATTTAGGGAAAATACTATTAGTGCACAGGTAGTGATAGCCATAATACAAATCAGAAGGTGAATGTGCACTAATAGAAGTTTTTAACATGGTTGCGACACGTATAAAAATGAATACAATGCGAAATGGGAGCAAGTCAATAAAGGAACTTATCGTATGTGAGAGTCCCTTGGTGAAAGTCCGGACGGCAGTAACGTGTTTCCTCCGCAGTTCGGCTGCTACACGTGTTCCATGATTGTCCGTGGACTTGTGGAGAGGTTGACGTCCTGCTCCCTGCGCGCGCGCGAGTCTGTGCGTTTTGACTGTGTTGTCCTTCCTATATATAGGAAAGTTTGATGTGTGCATAAAATATGAATCGTTCCGTGCGTACTAAACAGGAACTGACTTGTAGTTGGTCAAGGTTGCGGGTGGAACGGCGTTTGTCACGTGACTTGTGTGATTGTGTAGCAGGTAAGTCGTGGGATCTAGTAAACACCCATGTACTGGACAAATTAAGTGAAGTTGGTTGAGGGGACATGGAAATGTCCGCTACAATACACAGATTTAGGCTGCCAGGACCGATAGTGATCGTGATGCTAGCACGTAGGCTGAGCACCATGTGGATTATAATACGGGAACCCCAACACAAAGCTTGAGACACAATCCCATACCACAACAGCATCTGTTAACCAATCAGGTGTCACAATGATTTGTTCTGACTGTATTTGATTCGTTCTCTTGTTATAATTTCGAATAAACAAATCCTTGACAAAGGTTATCCGTGGTAATCGAAACGTCGAAGCCTTACTCAATTTAAGACCATGTTTTGACAAAAACTTTTCGGTAACCTTGAAATTTATTTTTGGCAAACTGTTTAGTGTTGTTAGACTGGATTTATCTACAAATATGAGTACAATTCACCCTGTACTGAATGTTTCCATTGTTTTCTGAAAGAGGAACCTGATGGTTTGAGGTGAATTCCATGTTAACTGAAGGCATCTCCCTTTATCTTCGAATACCGTGTAATTTTTCTCGTTTTCCAAAGTAAATATGTTGTTGGTCCTCAGATCCATCTAATTACTAATTAGACCTTGGTGTTGGTCACCCTAACCAACAGCGTTATATGGAATTAGGTGCACTTTGTGTCCATTTCCGTCTAAAACTCAGCTGACTCCAACGGTGACTTTTCCAATAACCAGGTTCTGCAACATATACCTCAGGCCCAACTCCGGTGGTAAAACAGTGACGAATTAACTATCTACCCAAACCCAAAAGGTCACCTATTTCTTTGATGTCCGGTCAATATATGAATGCGCCAGCCACCAAGTAATAAGGAAAGCTGAATTGGTACAAGCTTGTATGTGGTGTGACGAGAAAGTTAGTTTTGATGTTCTTCGATACGACATGATGCGAAGCTCAACAGTTATCGTGTGGTCCATTTAAGTTGGTAGGTTATGCGCAGTTAGTTATACGAAATCGGTTCGTCCTCCCAGAGTAGTCATTCGCCGTAGTACGAAGCAGCAAATTTGGTACCTTGTGGTTTGAAACTCATTGAATTCAGAATCTGAGCAAGCCGCCTGTTAATAGTAACCGTCGGCATACTGTTCTTACACATTTCACCCAAAGAGCCAAGCAAACAGTCGTCACATGTCACAAAACAGATGCGGCAACAATCTCAACCCAAACAGCTCGTGAGTCCAGTCTGAACACTATGGGAAGTTTAGGTCACTAGGGCGTGATATTATTAGAATGCCTCATGGAGATTTCAGCTGCCATTGTGGAAATCAAATGTGTGATCAAATGTGATCAGACACCATTCTTCAGTTACACTGTGAAACTTTGGGCAAGATGACCTTTTGAAATTTTCAAGCAAATAGCTCACAGATCACAGGCTGATTGGCTAGTTCGTAGGAATTTATGAACGAATTTACGTTTATTTTTATCCTATCAGTGATCCGTGGTGGGAGGTGACTGTCTGAAACTCACATGAAAGATAGTTGTCGTGGGAGGATGAATACGTTGGATAGCGAAGGTGATAAAGAACGAACAATTTTTTTAAAATTTGGTTCAGTGGGCAAAGTGGTTGTCCTTATGACAATCCGTACAAATTTGATAAGATATTTTACTTCATATTTATAATAAGACGGAGAAAGAGATCATTTTTTCAGCTTTTCAAAGTGAAATGATTTTCTACCATTTGTTCCTATTTTAGACAGACCATTGTGCTTATCCCAGTGCATACTACTCAGTAATTACGAACAACACCTGGCGAGGAATGAAATGCCTCTCAGCTGAAGGTCAAGAAGAACTACGATTTCTCATTCCTGCTTACGATCACGTTAATGATCCACCCTATCATTTGATCACCATTTACATTGCCCATAGGAAGGACGTGCACGGGGAACGAAAAGAACTTCTGGCTCAAGAACTCTTCGATGCCTGTAGACTTCATGCATCCAACTGTTACAGGAACAAGACTGATAGTCCATGTGCCCTGAGATCCTACGGAATGTCCGATGATCCCAAGTACACTTATCGATTGATAAGGACGCAGCATCAGGTTGGGACACAATGTTGGTCAATTTGAAGTCATGATTGAGTTCAATTTCCAAAGCATGTTCTCTCGAAACGCCGCATGCATTCCACATTGTATGAATCCGAAACCAGGGAACACACATCATCCGGCTGTACAGCACCTCGTCCATCAAAAACGACTCTCGCCCAGTTATCCTAGTGTCTCCATTGCATTTAACAGTCCTCCATCTTTATGGACCTCATGTCTTCAGGCCTCCACCCTACATAAATTTGAACACCATCCCATTTCCTTTTCTCTCCCTTTTGTACAAAGACTTTTCTGATATTTTGCAGACTCCTCGTTCAGAAAGTTATCCTTCTCCAACTGATTCCAAACCATTTCCGTGCATTACGTTTGTCTTGTTTTTCCTTAATGCAAGATATCTATCTGTTTTTCTCAACAATCTCATCAAAACGAACCGATACACAGGCACACACCCGAACAAATTTGTCCTTTATGTGATCATCTATTTTTTTTTAACCTGAGCAAAACCGATAACTTGAATTTGTTGTCTTTCCATTCAGCTGTTCATCCACCGAAAGTTCGGTTACCTTAGAAAGAATCCGCGGTGTTCCGTTAGGTGTTGTACGTTCAGTGTTTACGGACATTTGTACATTAGGAGTTGCACTAATAATGATGGCATTGTATTTTTCTGGAGCATCTGGGATTCATTCCGATGACAAGTTGCAGGAGGCGGAGCACGAACCTAACATAGATTATGGTCTCACCTGTTTTCGAGCGTGGACATTTCAAAGTTGGAGCAAAATTAACTAGAAAATCTGAGACAGATCAAAGTTATGTGGCGTAAGTCGCCTTGTATGTGCAAAATCTGCACGAGGTTAATCAAAAATGGTAATTAAACACAGAGTTTTGAATGAATATACTGGGACTTTTTACAACCAGCTGTGAAGTTTTATATGAGTTTTTTCACCAAACTGCCATAAATATTCTGTCACCATTACGTTCTCGACACCAAATGCCTTTCAGAAGCATGGTGCACATAGTCAGTGTAAACCTTTCATGATACCCCAGTTGTTTTCAATGGAAACCGAACACAGCATTAGTCAGTCAGTAAAGTACTTCGGAGTTTTCAGTCCCTTCCTTGGTTAAGCGGTATTCATGGATAGGCTAAGATGATGAAAGAAAAGCTCTCCAACTCAATCCAAGTGTAAGCGTGACACAGAACATTTGTTGACAGTAATCAAATTGGATCCAGCGTTTTGATCTCCACATTTTGTTGCAGACTGACGCTTTATTCCAACAGGGGAAGCATCAAGATTTGGCCGTTTTGGAACTCACTGCGTTTTGATGTCGTCATGTTTTTAGTAAAGCAGTCTATTTGTGCAGTCCAGACCAAGCATTCTGACCTTCCAATGAATCCCAGAATTTCATTCTTTCGGTTTCGTTCAGCCGAAACCACACACACAGTTTTCTTTTTCATCATATTTTGCGGGCTCGGAAATGTGCATATTAGGTGTATTCTGGTGACACAGGTTTATTAGGCCGAATAGCCTCTTCACGCGCACTGTTAAGTTAAATTCAAGAAAACAGTTTACATCCTTCAGATACCCTGGCATAGATCACATCACGATTATTGGAACAACATTCCCAAGGTTTGATGTTCTCTATAGCTTTTGACGCTTTATCGTTTCCCACTCATCCACTCATACATTAGCAGGACATGCTTGATAATGATCGCCCAAAGAATACAAGAGCATTCAGGTTAATTTTCATTGATCCGGTAATTATCATTACTAATCCGAACAATAAGAGATGCCACATCTTGATTGCCTTTTCAAAACCCAGACTGATTCGTTTGTTCATAGCACACTGCACTTACATTTGGGGTTAATGAAAGAGTCAGTACATTCATTAGAACGGAGGTTATAAAGTGGGACTGCGAACGCACTCCATCGAGCCTTGCTTCACATGGGCTGGAACCATTTATTATTTTTTCCAATAGAACAAGAGCCTGTCCAATAAGGCCCCGCGTATTTTAAACGTAGAATTGACTTAGAGGTCAAGCTGAAGTGGGTATCACAACAGACAGTCAAACTGGACGATTATTTGATTGCTGGTCTGAAAGGTAGAGTGGTTGATGTGTACGCAAACTTATTGTCTAGGTTAGTATTTAATCACAATCAATTCAATCACTTTTCATACCCTGATCGTTTCGGACTTCCACAAACGGATTTTTATTGCTTCAGTCCTATACGGAACTGTCACCTGGATGTCCATACGCTTTCTTCAACACTCAGCTGGCGCGCTTCCATACACACAGTTGTGAAGGCAGTTGATGCGTACTAAAAGCAATAACTTGATTTGCTAGTGCAATAGGACTTCGAAATCGTCAGGTAAACTGGATGTATTAGGGAAAATGATCGTATAATGAAGGGACCAGATTCTATAGAAGTTCGGGAAAGGCCATGTGAAAGGCCATGTCTAAACAATTTTTTAAAATGTAACCGGGGATTTGAATGACAAATGAAACAAATCCAGCATTGGACAGTAAAATGTGTGGTTGGTATGTGGTTATCCACAATCTATCTTCCACAGCACATGCTGGAAAATGCCGAGTAAAATTGGTAAGATCTAGTCAACAGGTGGTCGTGCTATGTGGACTTTGTGACTGCAGGACGAGTTGTGCTTCATCCTGTACAAGTGCAAGTTAATCACAATACTGATTGATGTGGCCGAACAGGCAAGATTCCAAACTACTAACCGGGAGGTACCAGTTCCTAGTATCCCACTACCGACGATTCCCAGTAAGGATGGAACGGCTGTGCGGTGCTTATCGGCATTTCAACACAGATTGGCTTCAATTATTGAAGGAAATCTCAACTGAGAACCACCACATCTTCTCAAACTACAAACAAAATGAGTAAGCCCCGTGCGAAGTGCAAAGCGTCATTGTGGTCATTGTGGGTGCAGTAAACTAAGGTTTATTTGCTCATTGAAAAAGCTGGAATATTGATATGTTTCCGTGCTAATCCTACAGAAGAAAATTCTTCTCGAAGATTACAGAAGGCATAGACCGTTTATTTAAGTAGTCTTGGGATATTGCTGACAAAATCGAATGATCATCACAACATGTTTTGCTGTTATTTTGAGTTTTGGGACATGGGTACTGATCCCTTTCTATTTCTGGAAAATGTTTCATTCATTGGATTTTACAGGATCCCAACCAAAGTTGGCAATATGGATTAGAACCGATAAGGAAACATCTCTTGGTTTGGCATTGAGCAAACTTTTTCATAGATAGCCCATCAATGTGTTTTGCACTGCCTCCGAAGTTCAATCAGAGTATGTTGACCAACGATCTAAATATTTTCCGAAAAGCTGAACGACGCAGTGGAGTATCAAAATCTTCAAAGCTTGAAAAGTCTAGCCTAATAATATTAACCGTCAGAGCCAAAAAAACATAAAGGCTATTTGGAATGATTGCATGGGAAACACGTTTGGTTATCGTGAGAAGATATACGGTAACTCATGATTTTCTCAGCCATAACACTGCATTCGGCAGTGTCAGTGATTTAAATAAGTTTACTCCATCAGCTAGGATAAAATCCACGAGCTGCAGCCTTGAGGTGGTTTCGGAAGGGAGACAGATCTAAGGTCAAACCGATCTAAAGAATAAAACGTACTTGTAGATTACCATTAGCTGCAATTTTTTCTGTTCCAAGCCACATACTTGTTGGTAGGAGCAGCGGGCCCACTGAATGAACAGTTCTAATGTCACCTTTGAGTGTCTGATGGCTCTGTAATAAGAATTTATTTATATTGGCCTTGTTCATAGAAATATTCTGGTTTCTGCCTGTTCTCAAATAAGAGCAGTTTTTCAGTCACACTATGCTATGCAAACACGTAGGCATTATCCTCTGAAAACGTTACCCTTACTTCTTTTTGTCGAAAAAAATTTGGAAGGTACTGCCCAATGGTAGAGGGCCTGTTTTATCAGAATCAAACAAGCCTTCCCGAGTATAGCTTTTGTCTAACAATCTCTCCGATAATATGATATATGTCTTGGAATTACCAGCTCTGCACCAGAACACTTATTTGATTTTCAACTCATCACATCTGCGTTATTTTGAAGTACCTATAGCGAATCTTGGTGCTTTCTAGCGAGTGGAGATCATCTCGTCGTCTTGTCCTACTACTCATAATAGGTAGCAATATGAAACGATTTCGCTGCTTCCAAATCTATGTCTAATCAGGCCACAAAATTCATATTTGTGCATGGTAGCTTGAAGAGGCTGCTTTTGATAGTCGAATATTAAGGGGACACAAAGTTCTACACCCAGTGATAAAGCATGAACATGTGTAGGCACTTCGAAAAGACCAAAATTAGGCCCCGTCTCCATCCAGTTTTACATTTTTCTTCACAACAACGCGGTTAAAAACGTGCTTTACGGCAGCAAAGCCTCAGTGTTGAACACTCATTATGTGCCACTGATGATGATGACGAAATATGAAATGAACCATTCATGCACCTACTTGGATATGTTGGAAAGGTAAGATGAGGTTTCTTATCGAAGGTTTTTAAACACCCGAAGTTTTTCCCATGTCATGGACCTCAGACTCCATCTATATTTTCCGTAATATCGCCTTAAGTCCGGCAGTAAATGACTGCCCCTAAACCGCTGTTTTTTTTTACCGTATTCAGTGCTCGACAATCATCACTCTTTTGTATCTAGAAGGAATGACGCTCCTCTTTGATTTTGATATACTCCCTGACCTAATTTAAGCAGGAGAATTTGCCAAAGGCCTTAGAGAATGTATAAACCAGAAATTCACATAGAATTGTCAATAAGACCGTAAAGGTTTAAACTGCTTTATTTCGAAAGTAACACTTGTGGGTCTTGGTAGAGATCACAAATTCAAACTGAAACCAAACACTAAATTTAGCAGAATGGAAAAATTCAAGCTTAAAGGTCAAAAAATCTGAAAACGTTCAACAGATCTGGCGCCCGTGGAACGGTCAGTTTCATTTGATTAAAATAACACATCCGTATCCTGTAAACTCACACTCAATTTCTAGCATACAGAGAGAAAGTTTTTAAACTAGAACACTGAAAGTGACGTGGAGTTCCACTCCAAAACTTTGACTAAACAATCGTGTAGCGGACCGGATTATAGACATGTTGCCAGTTGAAAAAATAGGGTTCATTGAAAAGCGACAACTGCTGACGGTAGGTATAGGGCGCAGTGTACTGGAATTGGTAAGCCGGATGAATATAAGGATGTGTTTGTGAATGAACCGACGAATAGTGGTGCATGCTATACGTATCGTTCGGTTGCAAGCCCATTCCTTCTTGAGGGTACGAGTGGTAACATATTCGTCTGCTACTCTTGCCTGGGAGCAGCTGATGTTCGTTGGTTTTTGAGTTTGTGTCCAGACTGGGTGACATACGTTTTGAAGCTGGCCGACTGGCAGATGTTAACGGGATAAACAAATAATTGTCACGTATGCAAGGGGTTAACATAACTGGAATGCTCACCCCGATCGGCTAATTCAATCAACAACTACTTACGCCTGGATCCAATAACCAGTTATTTGGATCACCATAGTCTGAAGGTTATGAAATATAACCCGCGAAAATTGCAGACGGACAAGATGTGAACTCAACAGGTTGTCCACATGTCACAAAATGCCGAAGTGAATGTGGGCGTTGCTTGCAGTAGTGTACGACATCAATCACGTTTTCGGTGAAAATGTGAGACACATTGAAATAAAAGGACCCTGTTTCACGTAAAACGCCGCCGACTGCATCCATATTTGTTGAATTGTGCCCACGTATAGGGGGCGTTTTCTAATCATATTAGCAAGCGCAACGTACACCTGAAGCTTTGCTTCACTGAACCCTGGTCCGACGTTAGACTTACAAAAATTAGATTAGTCGGCAATGGTCGACGCACACAATTCACCTCCGTGTGATGTGCAGTGGGACAAATATGACTTTCTGATTCCTAAGGAAGATGCAAAATTAATCCGCAGGTGATATGGTACTCCGGCTAAACAGTCGCACCGAATAAGTTCAGTTGGTACTATCCAGAACGTGCTTCAAAAATCAGTAAATAACAGATACTGATCAACTAAGCTCTATCGACGGTATGATAATTCGCAGTCTCTGAAAGGATTTCATTGGAAAAAACCACAAAATTTACACGAAAACAATGTTGGGCAACATAAAAAAAGTTTTGCAATATATCACCTGAAAGATGGTCCAACAAACTATCAACTAATGGATACGAACTTGTCAAATGCTACGGAACCGTTCAACAGTGGCACCTATTCCGCACGTAGCGCCATGCACCTCCAAAGGGGCATGAGAGTTAACGTGCCTAAGTCTATCCAAGCTGTCATGATGATAAGTCCAACCAAATTAGTATTGCGCCTCAAACCCGAGCAGAAAATTTTACACAACCCTGTCTGACCTGTTCAACTTGCACAAAAGTAATTCGTTGTCAGTTTTGTCCGACCGATGACTGAGAGAAACGCTTGCAAAAGGGCTTCTGGTATCGTACAGGCAGGGCGCATTCAATGATCTTTACTCTCACATAGTCTCTTCATTTGGCTCCTTTCAGTATACTTCCGATATTTTGCTAGCCATGCTAAGTAACTTCTACGACTCTACACGCTGCATTCTTCTGATGGAAATGTTTAGGCGAAAACGAAGGATTAAGCTGGTCCAATGAACCGGTTTGTCCAGACAATGACATCTGGAGCACGGGAATACCAGAGCTCAAATGTGGTGCAGTGTCACTAGTTGTGTTTTTTGACATAGCTCGACCACTTGGGACTCACTGAGTCGAGCAGGTATCTCTCATCCTATGTAAAGCAGTATCTTATAGGATCCATCCTAGAGTTCAGTTTTGAATAAAACAGGGCCCAACCTTTGAAACGCGCCCCCCCCGGGACCAGTCTAAACAACGTTTTCGTTATTTTGACTGGTCTCTTTTCTTGAAGTTGTACGCAATGAGACATGCTTTTCTTACCTAGTAATTGGAAGACCGACATTTTCAAAGTCAACTCACATAGTGCCGATTGGAATGACGTTTCAAAGTTGTTTTGAATAAAAGGTACACTTAATCTCACATATATCACCATGAAACAAGCATTCTGATGTGGTGTCTTATCAAACAGCATAATGCGATACACAATGTAATATCGTGTCACATTTCTGTCCATGTAAGTGCATCTACCGATATCATTTTAATGGAATTTATGGTCACTGTAGCCAATAGCTGTATTATCCAATTTATAAAAGGACTTGTGCCTTTGTATCCATCAGTTGGTACCCACACCGTGAAAAGCGTGTAAATCAGGGGTTTTCAAGTGGATATCTAATATTATCACTCTATATAAATTGTCAAAACCGTAGACTTCAATACAGGGTGGCATGTACCTAAAGCCCGGTTGACCCGTCTGCTCTCTTCCTGGAAGCAGCACTTTTAGAAGTTGGTCTATTGCTTTTTCTATCGAGGGAAATCTCACCGGCTCAGATAGTATTCGCTGAGATGGAAATTTTGGTTGTAAACGTTTCACCACCAACAGAGATGAAATACTCAGTGCGTGATAAGTTAGTGGTACTTGTCATTGCCCTGTTGTGTGTGTGTGTAGGTATGTAGGCCTGTTCATCGACGCAACACGATGCACTGATGCTGTGGACTCGGTCGGGGACGAAAAGTTTGCAAACAAACTACCCGGTTATGCGAACAGGACGACATCCATTTATCCTATTTCTTATAGTGAAATAGTTAAGATACAGTCATTTTACCTCCTTTTTGAAAACACATTCCATTTAAAACACCCTCGAGACACAGCTTTGTGCCCGTTGCTGAATGCTCGGTCTCAGTGTGGTCACTGCCACTCATAAGCCGTGAACATGACTCAAAGTCACACAGTCACCACAGTTTCGTCCACCTACAAAGGGCGGATTTGCATTAGACTGTGCATAAAGGGTAGAAAATGAAAGTAGTACACTGCAACTGAGGTGCTAGTCGTAATTTGACCGTGAGCCCAGCTTTTAGTGGTGCTTGAGGAGAGAAAACATGCATTGAAGACTGTAATTTAGACAAGAATGTCATCATGTATGCAACTGTATCATATCTGTTGGTACATTTAATAGCTTACATTGATAGCCCTAGTGGCCTCATCAAGATAGACAGTACCACTAACGTGAATGCGTACGCTGGTTGTCAGTTCATGCTTTGATATCAAGTCGCCTGACCATAACTGGCCCATTAACCTCCTGTACACGACTAGATAAAGGGCGAATTGGTGGATTCCAATCACCCCATCCACCTATTCTGATGCCTGTTCTCCGAAAACTAATTGGTGCATTACTAATTAGGTGTTCCCAGCAAACACGAGATTTGGTTCTCAGACAGCAGAATACTTCCGGTGCCACCCAGCTGAACTGGTGCAGGTTTCCAAGTAAATGAAACAGCCAACCGACCCTAATCGACTCTTCGGTAACATCTAAAACTTTCCGGGTGTGACACTCACAGAAAATCGCTCGACGGATTAACAAAGGATAGTTTATTATTGTTGCATGCATGAAGAGCCCAAACTGAGAATATTTACATAGCTTGCATACAGAGTATCGAAAAGCCGTCAAATTAGTGAACCTTTACAAGTGTGGAATCCTCAAAGAAACCTTCCAGGAAGAGCAAATAAACAGTGGCATTGATTTCACTCTCCCTACTTATCTCATGCCTGATATCTTAGCATCCAAAAGAATGTTTTTGTCTAGGTTTCAGATAGTTTCCTCTAGAAGAGTCACTTTGCTTTGGATCAATCTAACACATTATCAGACCTGAATCATACGCAGTAACCGTGGCTTACAAAATTCCATCCGAGAAGGGCCTTCGCATCAAAATGAGCTGCTAATCGATCCAAAATTAACTTTGTTTTTCGGGTACATTGTTAGGTGCTGTGTTTCAGCAGATCTAGCTCACCTTCCCTCGATTCCGCTGCTCAGACGATCAAAGAACGAGTGCTGTTTATCATACACCCTGATCTGGTCGGTTGTGCTTGGGATACTTTCTTTCATCCGTTGCATGTCATCATAGTTCACAGTGTCTCCACTGCACCGAGTACGGACTGACTGGTGAGCTGCTGCATATAATGAAAAAAGAAACAAAGTTCCTTATTACCTCATTAAGAAACTGTGGAAAATAGGGTTGAAAATTTTACCGTATTTAAACTGAAAATCAACCGAATGCAGTGAAATTGAATGTTCTTAACAAAGGTTCTGTTTGGGTCCTAGTTTCACAAGTTCTCATACCGAATTTCCTCACGTGCTACATTATTCTGCCCCTTGGTTAATAATGAAAGTAACCACTGTGAACTCCTGGATGCTTGGAATTATTGAGCAGAATGTCAGAGTGGCCTGGAGCAAATAAGCATGTATGTTCTTCGAATCATTGTCTTAAACCTCGCGTGTCTTCTCAGGAGGAAGTAAAGGTTTGGGGAGAACAAAAGCCAGACTTGCAGCAAGACTGGTTCTTACCAGTGCTATGCTCGGGGCATAAGTATGTATTGAAAGACAGGGTTAAAACTATCGCTGCGACTGGTTAGGCTCATGGAACTTCCTGATATAGGAAATCACTCATACAAAACCTCAAGGGTCGTATGATTACAATGCGGGCTGAAGAACAGCCCTACCACCTATACATTAAGTGTGTTAATCATAAGAAAAATTTCTGGTTTTTGAGCGGTTACCTGAAAATGACAAAGCACCTTCAGCACTCTGACATCGTCTGTCGGATGCGCACAGTTTCAGTGATCGAACTGAGTGTTCCAAATTGCTGTCAGAAAAATAGTGTGCAAATTCATCAGTTAGGTTGAACAAAGGAATGAAAGTTTGGTATTTATGCAAATAAAGCGTGTCTTCAAGACTACAGTGTCAGATGTGGGTTGACAGGTTTACATTGACAGGAGTTTTATCCAAAGCCAGTATGACAGACCGCAGTTGGCACTCAGTTGATTGTACCCTACTACGTAAATTCTTTATGCTGAACTCTTATTGACAGCGGTAGTCTGGACCAAAAACAGACGGTACGCATACTCTACAGCATGACTGAAGCAGTCGTTCTAACGAAAGGTTTTACCTCCGTGAACGCCCCGGTCTTGCACTACGTCTTCTCTGTGGTACTCCCTTTCGGTGAAACTCTGTTGAACCCATTCCCGGTTGGGACTGGCGGTCGCCGTTTGCTGAAACCAAAAAAAGTGCTTCCCACTTAAGGAATAGCAACTTACCCCAGGTAGAGTCGACCGTGCTTTTCTCAGCCGGAAAAGAAATGTCTGCATTGGCCTTCTGATCAATGCGAACTATGGCAGGATCATGTCTAAATAATGAAAGAAAACAATCTTTTTACAATGGTTGCAGGCTGGCGTGGAACTTTATTAAAGCTACTCTTACTCTGATAAGACTGAAAATTTTGAAAAATTGGTGTAAGTATCGCTAACAGTTAGCCAGTTCGCGATAGAAGTTAAATCTCGTCAAGGTTTCTGTGATCAGCCAAGATGCAATATACTTCTTGTTTTGTGAGGAAAACCTACTGAAAAAAACACCTGAAAATACAGTGTTGTCAAAAAATAAACCGCGAATTTTGTACATAATTTGAAGATTCATCAATGGAAAAGGTTGTAGTATTATGTCTATATTACAAGTGTTCCCACAACTCACTTTAGGTTACCATTGAGCGCCCAGCAGTTGTATCCAGTGTTCATAATGAATGGACGGGAATTCACTCGTACAATTGCGTCATCATGAGCGGGAGTGATTGTACGCCTGACTTTGAAGGAGAGTTGAACATCCTCTATATCACCACCCCGAAATATGACATAGTCAAAGCTGTTAGAACGGATGTTGACTGGTCCTTCTGTGGGAGAGTCGGATAGGTGAACTGTGGGAATAAATGACGCCGTGGTCTTGAAGAACTACGTACCCCTTTTCAGCGTCACAGTTGAATGTTCCGTATCAATACTATGCAGAAGTCCAGTATACTCAATTCCTGCACGAGACTTAATCTTCACACAGTTTTCATAAATTGCTTCCATCTGTGATGACAGCTGCAAGAAGACAATAAAGCCGACAAATCCCGAGTGAATCTGCTGGTCGGTTGCACTTATACTGAGATAAATTCGTAGCTAGACCATAAAAATGATGACAAGTGACAGTATAGGCGTTTAATCATTGCGGTTAGCCCAGCAGTATTCACACCTGACTCCTAAGTCCCATGATTTCCAGTTGAATTTCGATCATACCTGAGCATGGTCGCTACTGGATATCGAGTCTGTCCAGTTAGCTTTAGCCAAACACTGAGTTCTCTGCCAAAAAGAACCTTCCGCCGATAAAAAGGATTCCTATCCTGAAAGGATCACAGTAACATTCCCACAAACCGCGGATAAGTGAAAAATTACCCATCGGAAAAGTTCGAAATTCCATCTTTTCCATCTTTGAAGGGTCACCGTGTACAACGCCGGAGTGAAAAAACTTCTAGCATTATAACTGTGAGATTCAAAATCTTCTACTTCGGTCAAAACAAAGAAAGCCTGCTTATTATGATGCTTCCGCGTTACAATATAAATTCATAAACCAGGAAGTTGGGGAGAATAAATGCCACAACCAGAGAGTACAAGAGTATTACTGACGTGAAGAACTTTTTTCCCTTGAAACAGTCTGATTCATGAACCGAAATATTTAAAGGGTTATAAAGGTCTTGATGTTACGGAAATTTTAGCTACACTTAGATTTATGTTAACTTTGGTCATCTGCTTGAGGTGACATCAATCAGAACCCCATGGCTGCAGTCGACTTTTCGTTAGTCCCTGAGTCATACCTGGAGAGATGGGAATCCAACTTTTACATTGGTTTTCATTTGCGTGTCTGACGGTCACTTATGAACTTATGAAGTAGCATAGACGTTTTTATCTCCCTAAACTAGGCTATGTCTCGTTAGCGGAAAGGGTGCTAATAACCAGTTTTTTCAAGACCATGTCCAAGGTCAGCTTTACCTGTTTCATTTGTCAATCATTTTCTTGAAAGCTTCTTCTGTTTACAACAGATTCAAGGCCGGATTGTTTGAGAGCATAGCAGTACGAAGGTTTCGACCAGCTATGCCCTATGAAACCCAGTGTAGTTTAGTTAGTGAATGAAGTGTTGGGTAGAACAGGACCGGAGTTGGTCATAAGCACGTCTTTAACCAAGTAAATCTAACGAGGGTGAGAATATCATGGATATTTTCCTCAACAATCCGGCTGATATGACTGCACACTGATGAATCATAATAGGCTAAATTTAACAATAAACACCTGATGGGAAAAACATCTATGTTTAACCTGCCTACTTTGTTCTGGCGCACATCCACACTAAGTTAGTTGCGCTCAGAATTGAGTCGCTCTGTTGATAACTCCTGGTGTTTTGCAGAGAGTGCTTCAGAAAAATTCGACAGCTAATTTTCAAACAGTAATTTTTAGGTCATTCCGGCACCCCGTTAAGGTGCAACAGCTTGCTTCATTTTCATAGACTCCATTTAGCTTTGCGCGCTGTTTCAATCAGCTAGACAACAACAGCAGCAAAGAGTGACTACTTACGGTCTATCAAAGAGCATAATTCTTATCTGGGCAACATAACGTTGCTGGAAAAATATCGCCAACCGAACGGAAAAACGGTTGAATAAAAACGATACCTTTAGTGAATTTCAGTTGGAGGACCAGTTGAAAAATTGCAGCAGCAATCATTCATATGCCCAAAATCAACCCGTTTCGAAAAACCAGGTCAACAATTTCAGAAATTTTAAGCTGAGCTGTGAACACAGGGGAAAAACGTGCTCTGAAAGTTTTCATCATAAAGACCGTGTCATCTTTGTAAAACATATCCGCCTGCGAGATTATTTTTGGTCGACATTATTATTTTTTCGGAAAACGATGGTGATGGAGGGCGACGCATTTTGTCCACATGATTTTCACCGACCTTCGACAAATCAGTTTGTGCACCCAGTATTCTTTTACCTCAAACAAAGGAACACAAAGGTTCAATGTTTCACCCGGTAGTTAAGAGGTGATAAGTCTTTCACCTCTTATCTCTGCTTCAGCTTGATCGTTGCATTGACGTTTGTAGCACATCTATTTCAGCAGCTTACGTGGAACTGAATAAACCAGAGTGCTGCCTCAGTCTTATCCGTCTGGAGCATAAAATCGTCAATATTGCTATCACCACAACTCCTGGCTTTCCGTGACATACACTAATATAATCATGAGATCAAAGTCTTTACAATCAAGCTTATAAAATAGGGAGCTCCTCTTCCAACTTCTGTGTACTTCCAACAACACTGGACGGCAACGCTCGTTCCGTGATATGTGCTCTAAGGTCAGCACAAAGTTGAGCGAACCTGTTCTAAACAACCGAAATTGTTTTGATATGTGATCCGGCCTAGAGGTTGTTTAAACCATTCTCGAACCAAATCTATGCCACAAATCGTTATCTCAACCAAAATGAGTCCCACATAATGTATACATTATCCTCTAAGTTCAGTGATGATACAAGACAGACGAGCCCCAGGAAGGGTGGAACCGTTCGTGGGCTGTCGAATAATTTTCAGCAACCTTATGAATAGTCATTACGAATATGCGTACATCGCGATAACTTGAATATTGTTGCGACTGAAACATGAGGCGATCTGGTGCAGCACATTCAGTTGCCTGGAAACAGCACAACAAAAGATTTGGCTGGGTTTCAAGAAAAATAATTTTGTTTGAAAATGAGTGTTTCGCTATTTAGTGCAATTTGGTTGCAAGTAAAAAGCAAGGTCAATGAAACCTCGGAGAATGCGCCTACGTGATGAGCTCTAAGAAGGGCGAAACTGGCCATGGTTGGCGAAGAAATTTCAGCAACCTTGCGAGTAGTGCATTGTTTAAACCATCCTCGAACCAAACCTATGCCACAAATTGTTATCCTTACCCAAATGAATCCCATAAAATATGTGCATTATCCTCTAAGTTCAGTGACGATACATGACGTATGTGCATCCGACATTTCGCAGTCCTTGAAGCCAGGTTTCAGATGCTCCAGCAACTCGACAACCAACAGCATCTTTCGTGCATCAGATGCACCAAAAATGGGTACCGTGATTCATCACAGAAATTAATTCGGCCAGTGGACAGTAAGGATTTGTTTATTTCTCCTTTCATCCGTTTTTGGATGGTTAAACTCTCAGAAACCACGTTCGCAGTGTTCCTAGTAGCGTTAACTTGCCGGATGGGTTTGATAAAATGAGTACAACCAGTGTATCAGTTTCCTGTGAAGTTACACAAACTGCATGCTGAAATGTCGTATACAACCCTATAGATATTATAGGATACTTTTCGTAGCATGTGGGGCGTAGTTGTGGCTGCCTAATCTAGGTCTTGCAATCCAGATGCTGGATATATCTATAGGCTCGGAACGCTGACGTAACCAGAGCGACTTTCAGGATGGGATCACCATGAAATCTGTGGAAGCTGAAGATACATGGTGAACGAAGGTGTACATATATAACAGTGGCTATTCTCAAGAACGCCAATTATCACAAAAATAACCTGACCACCTAATCAGAATGGCTTTTATTACAAAATAATGGATTATTGTACATTTTTGGATTCCCTAACATCTAACGTGAGGTTCATGATTGATCATTTACAATAAATCCATTGTGTTTTCCTCGAATTTGCAGCTAAGGAATGGGGTGCTGTAGGTTAAAAAAACTGTTATGAAGAGGAAAACGGGAAACATCAAACAGCCAACCAAGATTAACTGAAATGTGAAAAGAACACAGTAACCGAAATGTGCAAAAACAACTACTTAAGATATTATGCACTGTGGCCTCAAATCGTATCGGAGAAAACAACACAACATAGCACAATTTTTCAATGTACCAAAGAGAACAGTGACAATTTACTAAAAGAAATTAGTTGTATAATTCTACCGAATACAAACTGTCCGGTCCATAATGCAGCACAAGTTGTAAACGACAGAATTAAATTACATAAAGCTGTTCCTCAGTCAGTCGGTCAGATCAAAAACACCGACATATTTATGAGCTACTTAAATGCAAGTAGACAAAGAAGAGGTATCAATTCGCACTGATGAGCTCCATGGGTCAATATAAGAAGGCATACACGATACCAAGCTCGGCGGGCAGATAAATAGCCACCTGATCTTCAAACAAAAACTGCGACCAACCTCAAATCAACCAAAACAGAGACCCCGCTGTTATGAATAAGGTTACAAAGAAGGGGATTTCGTCTATTGATGTAGAAATGTTAACTCCAGAAAGTACATTTTAGACATTTTTGATTCTAATCTCGTGGAAGCGCAGCACGACCACCATACATATGCTTTGAATTCAAGTTAATGTTAGGCGGCATACGTCTGTTATTGTTGGGGTAACCCATAGCACGAACTGAGGCCTACCACTTCATGACCATCATCAGCATCAGCTGCAAAAACTGCGCACTTGCTGTACAATGGTAAAAGCCGCCTCAGTTCCTTTTACTGATGATTTTCATAGGTGGTGCATATAGTTATAATAGGCGGTGGATGATATAATTGATAAGTAAATACAGGAGTGTCCGTGCATCTTTCGCTGCGGAGATCACGAGGGCAGTTATGCACTGAAGGCAACAGCATGAATGCACGAGCCCCATTGGGGGCACGACTGGGCCATGTCTTACAACGTCCCTAACTGTTGATATGTCGGGACACACCATCCAAGGAGACGGAAACCTATGGAGTGTGATCAGATCATTTGTTGCGAGCAAATTATTTCTCTTAAGAACCGTAATTCAACACTACTGATCCGGTGTTCTCACGTCATTCAGCTGCAGCACCCTTCCGCTGTCTAACTGCCATGCCACCAAAAGGACGCAAGAGGGCCGGGATACTGCCAAATTGCTCAAGCCCAGACAGGGGGTCGAGAGGCAGAGGTCAGGTTGGAACCACGGCCCCTCTGGTCAGCAAATTCGCGCCCTACCCACTGAGCCATCTCATCCATCTCGTCCCAACTAGACTCGGGAAATGTTCCAAAGACACATCACCAGTCAAACACTGAAATCCTTTTGACATTCTCAGCAAGCGGCGGCTAGGTTCCTGACCCGTAGAAAAGCACGAA